GAGAAGTGAGTTGACGGGGTGTGGGGGGGGGGGGGGGGGCAGGCCAGGGAAACAGATGGCGGGGGAGAGAATGTCGCAGAGCAGCCCAGGAAGGTGTGGCCTCCCAGGCTCAGGACAGATAAGGCAGTTCTATTATTGCAGCTTCTCTCTCTTGTTCTCTCTCTTTCTTTCGTTCCTTGATGTACCATTTGCTCACCTGTCCCTGAAGGCAGTTTCAGGACTTCTGCAAAAGATGAGTTGTCGCTTGTTTTTGTAATTAGAGCTAAAATAGTTTGTGGGATTTTGATTGCTCTGTCTTCATTTTTGCTGCATTCCTGAATATCTCGGTCCTAACTCTGATGGTTGTTTTGACACCGTCAGTCCAAGATTCAGTGGCCAATAGCTTGAATGCCTTCAATGTCTTGTTTAAACAGGGTTTTCATTTCTAGAAGATTGGGTAAGTTATTCACTAATGAAAGTAATTGTAGAAATTACTAGAAACTGCAGCATCGTTTCAAAGTATTGCTCAGGGGATATGGTCATGAGGAAACATAACGCTCTACTTTCCTATCAATTCCTGAGCAAAAGTCATGCTACAGTGAGAACCAGCCAGGTCACGGTGGGCTTCCACCGCGGCTGATGTATGTGATGTACCCGCTGTGTGCCAGACATAGCACTGGGCGCTGGGCATAGAGTGGTGCATATGACAACAGAGTCCTTACTCGCTTGGAATTTTCTAGTACAGTTTTCCAAATAGCAGTCATCGTGGGAGGACCTGACTTGCTCGTTAAGAAGGAATGAAGTACTCATGAACACTGTTCACGATCTCCCCCAGCATCCTTGTGCAGGGGGTGCGCACATGGATGAGAAGGCAGAGACCGTCAGACTCAAGCCAGCATAGACCCAGCACACCTGCCGTCACGGCTGCCGATTCCACACTCTAACCAGCTCCTGAGCAGATGGAAAGAAGTATGGCTGCTACCTGATAAGCTTCTGTTAAATTACATGAGAAAGTGAATTCTCATTCAAACTTTTGGCCAAGACAGGCTTCCATACATCTGTTGATGTGTAGGACACCTTTACACCAATAGTGCATGGCCCTCTCCCATATGTTTTTCCTTTTCCTCTCAGAAGAAGACTGCAAGATAGAGTTAGGCAGTGGTATCTTTTTTTTTTTTTTTTTTTAAGAATTATTTATTTAATTTTGTATTCATTTATTTATTTTAATTTGACCAGAGAGAAAAACAGTGCAAGAGAGAGGGAAAGTGAGAAAGCAGGCCATGAGGTCCCGGACTTGAACCACGGTCAGCCATGTGGGAGTGTCCAGTGCCTTACCCACCATGCCACCTGCTGGCCCCAAGGCAGTGATATTTTATACATGGATGAGAAGTACAGGGTGGACCTTAGCAGGTCTCCGACCAGGGCTGCTCCCCGGCGGTGGGGCTAGACTCCTCCAGCCTCATCTGCAGCACCAGTGGAAACCACAGCGTAATTTCCAAGTGTGCCTGGGGGCTGTGGGCAGAGAAAGCCCCGCACTGTAGTTCTGCACAGCGTGCTCCCTGCTGTGTGAGGGACCGTCCTCAGAACAGGCTAGTAATTCCCTTTGCTGAGCCACCGATTCTCTTCCAGATCCTAGAAACATGCAGCCCCCACAGAGAATGCAAGGCCACCACTACAGTTACCTCTGTGCCAAGAGGGCATTTGAGAAAGAAAAGGAAGGACCGACCATGCTCATGCTAGAAGATGGTTCTCTCTTTTAAAAATCATTTATTTATTATTATTATTATCTTTGTAAAGTTTGTTATAGGGCACATGTGCTCACCGGAGAGAGACTGAGAGACAAAGGGGAAGTGAGAAAGCAAGCCGCCAAGTCCCAGACATGAGCCACAGTGGGCCATGTGGGAGCCCAGTGCCTCAACCCCCGTGCCACCTGCTGGCCCCTCTCCCTTGACCTACTTCTTTGTAGTCCTCCTCTGAGCGTCTCCTTGGGGCCTGCAGAATGCCTCTCTGGTGTCCTGGAGCACTAAGCAAATAGACAGTGATCGCGAGAAGGCGCAGGGCACCGGGGAGGCAGTAAGCGCGGCTCAGAGGCATCAGGCACCGTGGAAGGGGAAATGCCTCCTCGGAAGGCACAGGGAAGTCGTATAACGTAATCGTCCCTCGGCTCGGCCCGTTTCCATTACTCAATAAAACAGACGCTCCCTGGGGCAGGTTGTGCATCCTGCTCTCCCCGGCGCCACGGTGCCGTGCCTGGCTTTCCTTGATGCGCAGGAAGTATTTATTAAAAGGAGGCAAGGAGGCAGGCAGGGAGGGAGAAATATGTGTAGGCTGCAAAGTTTCTGAGAAGGACGCAAAGGAATCGTGGGCAGAAGGGCAGAAGGGCAGGGTCTGGTAAGAACCGAGTTTGCCCTCCAGCTCTGAACGCGGAATCCCAGCACGAGTGACGGCTTGGCCCAAGGTTTGCGCATGCGCCTGCGCTCAGCCCCAGCTGGCATCAGTAGCCTGGGAGCGGCCCTAGCCTAACCCCACGGATATAGGGTACTCACCAGTGGCAACCCGAGGTGGACCCACAGGAAGAAACTGAAGGCCAGGCCTCTTCTCCCTGGGGCTGCCTGAGTTCCTTCACGACGGCCACTCCTGGGAACCAGTCGTTCATGGAGGCCTAGGTAAGGAGGCAGCTCTGCCATGGTGGCCACAGAGCCTGGACCCACTAGAGGACCTGCAGGTAGTGGGTGTAGTCCTAAGAGCAGCTTCGGCTCTCCAGGAACCTGGCTGGGTACGCGAAGGCGTGCCAGTTCGCTTGGTGTAACACAAAGCCATCTTTGTAGAACTTCTTCTTCCTCAACCATGCTGGGAGGGAAGCAGGGCCGGAAACATCGTCCCATTCTGCAGACGAGGACAGTGAGGTTCAGTAGGGCTGGAGAGCTTTCCCGAGGTCACAGAACCACTAGAGTGCCAGGGTTCCTGGTTCAGGGCATCAGCAGAGGCACATAGCGGCGATGCTGGAGTCAGCCAGCAGAGGGCAGCCGACACAAAGAGACCGTTCAGGGCTTGGCAGATGCGACGGTCAGTCACCAACACTGTGGGCCAGCTGGGCGTCCTGGCTCCCTGGGAAGCTACGCTGAGAAAGACAGCATCACTTCTATGATTTCCTACCAAACAAACAAACAAACAAACAAACAAGCCTTACCTAAAACGAACCCTGACAATCAGGTAAACCCCAAATTCAGGGACAATCTAGGAAACAGCTGGCTGGCACGCTTCTGAAGGTCTGAGGAACAGTTCCAGGTTAAAGAGAGGAAAGGGACATGCCAACTAAATGCGGTAAATGACTGATCTTTAGATGGCTCTTGGGCTGAGGAAAAAGCGTTAGATGTAAAGGACGTTATTAGGACAACTGTAATTCGAATTTGGGCTGCGGTTTAGATGATAATAGTGTATCAGTGCTAAGTTTCCTGTTGATAATTGTACTGTGTTTACTTAAGAGAATGTCCTTGATCTCAGCAATGTTTAGGAGTAATGGGTACAATGTCTCCAATTTGCTTTTATCTATTTTTAAATTTTATTTCTTTCCCAGAGGGAGGAGGTAAGGGAAGGGGGCCTCTGAGAGATGAGACAGGCACTCCCAACAATGTCTTCATGCCATCAGCCACCCCTAGCTTCAGCCAGCCAGGATCACAGGTGTGCGTGTGTGCCGTGTGTGCGTGAAACCTCTGTATGTGAACCCAGGATCTTCCTTCCCACGTGGCCTCAGCACTGCGGACTGTTTCAGCACGGCTGCACTCACCTCCAATTTACTTTTTTAAAAGACTAAATAAGGGACCAGCAGATGGCATAATGGTTACTTCGCTGGACTCCCCTATGACCTACTGCGGTTTGAGTCCCAACCTGGAGACTTGAAACTCACGCTGGGCATGTATGTGTGCATTCCCAAAATCTTGAGAGGAGAATGGAGGAGAAGGCACTGTGGCATGGCCATCCCCCGGGGGGGTGATTTCCTACTTTCTGTCTCTCTGTGTCCTCTGTCTCTCTGGTGAGTGCATGCACCCTATAGCAAAAATATCTCTTAAAAAATTAAATTCTATTAAATTTTTGCTTGAGGGTGCATGTGATCACCAAAGGGAGGTAGAGAGACAGAGAGAGGAGAGGACAAAGTACCTCTTTCCAGAGGGAAAGGTCCCTGCAATCCCTCCTCTATCTCTCCTTCTTGTTAAGATTTGGGCACACACAGGCACACGTGCACACACGCACACATACACACATGTTTGGCATGTTTCTCAAGCTTTTACATCTAAGACAGACTGTAAGTTTTTTAATTTATTTAATATCCAGCTGCTTTAACCACCAGACCATGGAGTTAGTTCCAATTTGCCTTAAAATGATTTTCTTTAAAAAACAAAGAGAAAAGGATAAGGCTATAAAAGAAATGGCACAAACTGAAAGTAATAAGTCAGTCTCAGTAAAGGGCACATGGGAGTTCCTTTACACCATACTTGCAATGTTTCTGTAATTTTGAAAGTGTAATTCAAATGAAAATTTACCCCCAAAAAGATTTTTTTTTTTTGAGAGATTTTCACTGTAGGGCGCGTGCGCTCGCCAGACAGACAGACAGAGACATAGAGACAGAAAGCGAGAAATCACCCCCCAGGGGGGATGGTCACGCCGCAATCCCTTCTCCTCCATTCTCCTCTCGGGATCATGGGCACGCACGCACACGCACCCGGCGTGAGTTTTAAGCCACCGGGTCCGGTACACGAACCGCGGTCGACTACGTGGGAATCCAGCGACATAGCCATTACGCTAACTGCTGGTCCCCCCCCCCCAAAAAAGTTTTTAAGATGGCGCGATGGCTGTGGTGCAGCAGTAACTAGCACCGTGCAGGAGGCTCTCTGGCCGCCGAGGTTCAGATTCTGGTTTAGTCTAAAAAGCATGCCAGGCCCGCAGGTGGGTGCCCAGGATCCTGAGGAGCTGGAAGGCTGAGGAAATGGGATCACAGCCTGGAGAAACCCTGTCAAGGATGCCTTCTCTGCCTCTCTCTCTGCCACACATTTGCTATCATGAGAAGAAGTAACTAAAAGAGAAAAGGCTGCCCTAGTTCTTGGGGTTGAGCGTTATGGAAGCCACACCTGATTCCAGGCAGAGCGATCTCCCTTCATAGGAGTGGAGCCGGGGGTGTGGAGGCCTCTTAGTGAAGTGCAGGCCAGCTCTCTGTGGAGCCAGACCTGACCTTTGCCCCACACTGGCCAGAGCAGCTGCACACAAAGCTCACCTGATAATGAATTACCTGACCTAGGAGATGGCTCTCACTGGAAATGAGGGCATGTAATGCACACCTGTGTATGAAGGAGGGGCAGTGGACCGGGCAGAATGGACCTGTGAGGGCTGGGGACACCGGGGACATTCTAGGGCCTGTGAAATACAGAAAAGGAGCCTGATTTAGGGCGGGTGAGACCACCACCTCAGCTTTACTGGGGCGGCCCTTCCCAAAGATAAGGCTGCTGTTACTGAATGAGCAGGGAAAATAGGAACAGTAAAAATGACTACTGTGAGGAACCGCCGTGAACAAGGACAAGGAGTAGAAAGAGCCTGTGGGAATGGCGTCGAGTGGACCAGTACGCGTGACCCTCACCGGGAGGGCTGCCTCTTCCACCCACCACCTGAGAATTCTGACTCATTTAGGCCTGGGAGTGGAGTTGGGGTTAGCTTACATTCTAACAAACCCAGAGGTGCCGCCATTTGGGCCACATTTTGAGTGGCTATGATGTAGCAGACGATTGTGTCCAGCCTACCCAGGAAGGGTCCAGGTTGTGTGGGGCACATAAAAACCACAAGTGAAGTATTCTAAGAGGTCCCAGGGTGACTAGGATCCCTTTGACAGGCCAATAGGGATTAGAGATTTCATCATGGATGAAATGCCACCTAAACGGTGCTTCAGAGATGGACGGAGGAGGGCCTTCTCGGGAGAGGCATAAAGACTCAGAAGGAAGTCCTGCCCCATCCATCGTTTGGGCTGGGGTGGGGAGACGTGATGGACGGAAAGGCAGTCGGGAGCCCTGGCTCCAGGTCAGGAGCTGGAACTGTATTTGGCAGGCCGTGCAGAGCCTCTGGTGGGATGTGACCAGAGGCAGGGCTTTCTAAAGATTGCCCTGGTAGTGACAGGAAGGGTGGGCTGGTGGAGGCGCAGAACCAGAGAGCAGGTCCCAGCAAAAGGCTCCGCGTGAGATAAGGGCCTGAGGAGAGGCAGTGGCCATGAGCACAGAAACTAAGGGAATTTCAGCATCTTAGCTAGGTGAGAAAAACGAGGATTCATTGTTCCCTTGGTCCTTAGGCCTTCAGTTACCACTGAAATTGACATGAAGCGCTCACGTTTACAAAGACATTTGAAAAAATTAGTCTGTTTGGGCCAGCAGGTGGTGTGGTGGTTAGGCACTGGACTCCCACGTGGCTGACCACGGTCAGGACCTGGCGCTCGCTTTCCCACTTTCCCTCTCTCTTTCTCTCTGTCTCTCTCTGGTGAGTACACGTGCCACATTGCAAATGGGAAAAAAAAAAAAGTAGCAATGATGATAATAAACAAAATCAAATAAGTCCTTAAAAATGTTAACTCATTAAGTATATTTAAAGGACATTTAGTACTAAAAAGTTACGTGTGAGCTTTCACATGAACACCTTCAAGAGTCTTCCAGGCAGGAGGTGGGAAGGCGATGCTGATGTGCTGGTGGATGTTTGACAGTCGGCCGGGGGTTGAGGAGAGCCCTGGCTGTAAACTGCTGCTGCAATGGCGGGGTTCAAGCTAACAATATGATGTGCATGAGCTTGCAAAATCCCCCAAATGTAACAACTGGGAGCCAGTATGAGCTGGGTCCGACACACTCCCGAATGGAGACCAAGGGACAGGAAAGGTTAGAGCCCAATAGCCGTTAAGTCCCTTGTCAGCATTGGTCCATGGACCCTAGAGCCAGAACTGCATGTGGAAGAAGCCCGCCGGCCTGATGGCTTTGCGCAGCACGCACTGAACATCACTTAGCAGCAGTTCTTCTCAAAGAGTAACAAATGACAGTGGGATTTGTTCCAGGGCTCCAAAGGCAAGAGGATTGTCCCATATAATAGAGAAGCATAAAGGAAACAAAAGAATCTTAGAAGTAAGAAGAAGGAGACCTGATCTTTGCAAGTGTCTCTGTCTCTGCAGCCTAGCAGAAATATGCTTAACTGTCCTAAGCCTCAGCTCTTGCCTTTAAAAATGAGGACATCACTAAATATGTCCCCGGCATGTTGCAAAGCCCAGAAGGCATTCACAAGTAGGAATTTCTCTGCATGCCTTCTCTGCTTTCTCCCCTGCTGCAGCATTAACCACCCCTCGCCCCTGCCACCCCTCCTTAGGTTCAGGCTGGCCCAGGCCCTGCATCTGTCTAGCAGGACCCATCCTCCCATTTCTTTTTTTTTTTTCAATTAGTAATTAGTTTATTTACATTTAATCACATCTTTACATTGTACAACATTTCTTTTTCCAGCACAAATACTATGCATGTCAGTCAAGCCAAAGATATTACTCTATAACTTATCAGCAAATAGCTTCTCATTTTTTTGTTAATTAAGCATATTTTACTTGTTTTTTTCCTTCCCCTTTCCCCTTTCTCCCTTCCATACTAAACTTTTTCCCCACATTTTAATGATTCACAAAATACCTTAAACTAAAAGTATGGACAAAGCTAGGCTCTAGTTACAAATGCGCTGTAGTTTTCTTCTGAAACATTTTTTACAATTAATTAATTAATTTACATTCATTCCCTGAGCATCGTCACAGCATACAAAATGTGATTTCCCATCCAGAATATACTGCATAGTGGCTTAATCATCCATGCTATCATCAATAATTTTCCATTTCTAGTTTTATATATATATTTTTTGTTTTCCTACTTATTTCTCACCCTCTGCCATTTCCCACCCTCCTCCCACATATCTCAGGTATCTACAGTTGTTTTCCATTCCTTCCCCATTTAATCCTCCCACTTCTGAGGACTGTCCCAAGCCTCCCAGGAAGATCTGAGAGCCCTGCCTGCTCCTCTCAGTTGCAGAAAGAAAGAAAAGCGAAGGGAAGGGGCTGCCTGTGCTCTTGTTAGCTCTCGCCCTCCTGCTTTTTTTTTTTGGAGAG